TTTGAGTTTCTTGAGCCAATTTTTATGCTAGTTAAGCCTTGTCCTGTCATTGAGCAAAAGACTCTGAAGGTTCCTCTGTTCTCATTTCTATGTGGCTCTGATATTTCTGCAAACAAAAACAGTTGGAGTAGTACAGGTACAGACTGACAAAGTTGTATTTACGAGATCAGTGTCCAGGATGCTTCCATAGCTCTGCTGGCCATTGCTTGATGAATGGTGAGAGAGGAGCCCAGAGCATGTCTGAATCCAAACTGTGGTGAATGTGGTCATTGCAAAAGTCCTTCAATTTTTCCTATGAGCTGGTTCAAGGTAATTGGATTATTAAATCCAAGTGTTTCGATTAATTATCTTAACTAGGGAGATATGTAGCAGGAAAACCCTGAAGTTAAGGTGCTGCATTTCGCACCCTGCTGTTTAAACATCTTGTTAATGGGAAATTTTTTCAGAAAAATTGGTGTGCAATCAAATCAGAATTTCACTTACACAGTATGTTCGAATTTAAACTCCTTAACTAAAGAGGATTTATCTTTTAAATTCACTAAAAAAGTGGTTTAGTGAATTTAATTAGAGTATTTATCTAAAGGAACAAAATACAACAGTCTCCAGAAGCCCTCAGTTCTGCATAAATCCAGTAACTTGTAACTCACCTGTGCCTGCCAAGGCTTCCCCTGGACCCCAGTGAAAGTTCTGTGCCCTGCTCCTGGCTGGCAGTGGTCAGGGCAAGGGCAGAGCAGTGCCCGTGCTCCTCTGCAGCCTTAGAGCTCTCTCTCAACAAGCTGCCCCTGGAGAGCAGAGCTTTTAGTGCCAATCCCACAGCAGAGAGCTGCTGGAAGGCACACTGAGCACGGTGACCCTGTGCTTGTCCTTCTCACCTGCCCTGTGAATCCAGCTCCTTGGCATCCCCAGGCGTGTCACCCCAGAGCAGCGGTGTCGCACGGAATAAACTTGTTTACCTTCTGGCTTAAAATAGCCCAGACTTTCACTTGCTGTGAGAGCAGTTTGAAATATCCTGTTTGAGTCTGAGGCAGGGCTGTGAGTCCACCAGGCTGCCTCAGGGACTGAGGGGTTGTGCTGCTGTGAGCAAGGCCATACGCCCTGTGGTGCCTGCCCCCAGCTACATCCTGCCCCGGAGCAAAATGAGCAAAGCCAGCAGTGGGAACATCCCTTAGGTGGGAAAGGCTTTATGGATTGTGCACATCTGTATCGAGTATCAGCCGCTGCCTGAATTAGTCATGGAAGGATAAGCACATCTCAGGTTTCTGTGGTTGAAATGACCCCCAAGGTATTCAAAAGTCTCTTTTTTCCCAGCCCCGCAACAGAAGAAGAGGTCGAGATTCATCGGTTTTGCTTTTCAAAGTTGTTTATTTTCTCTTATCTATTACTCTCTTTCTCTGACCTGCTGAGATCTGTCCTGCAGGTCAGGTTGTGGCACAGTGCCTGCCCTTGGGGCGAAAAGTCTCTTTTTTCCCAGCCCTGCAACAGAAGAAGAGGTCGAGATTCGTCAGTTTTGCTTTTCAAAGTTGTTTATTTTCTCTTATCTATTACACTCTTTCTCTGACCTGCTGAGATCTGTCCTGCAGGTCAGGTTGTGGCACAGTGCCTGCCCTTGGGGCAGTGTTAACTTTTTATACTAAGAACTACATGTACTTTATTTACAATAATTTTCCAATACCTATCACCTATGTTAGACAGCCTATCTCTAAACCAATCAAAAAGTGTCACCATCCCAGCAGAAGATGGAGGACAAGAAGAAGAAGAAGGACCGGACACACCCAGATTCCTCATCTTCCCTCTTGAACCCCCATTCTAAACCCCAAAATTCTACTTTTTCACCCTGTGACAAATTAGCTATCATTCTACTCAAACTCTTGTGGCTTTTAAGGCTTCACACCAAGTGGGGAATTTTTTCCATGGGCTAAAATCAAAGGCACAGGTGTTTTTGACTCTGTGCCAAGGTCTCTGAGCCCCTTGCCAGGGTCTCGAATCACCCAGAGCAGCCAGAGGAATGTCCTAGGTCCTGACAAGCACAGATCTAATTTTACCACTCAGCTTTCTGAACATTACAGACACAAACTGAATGAAGAATATATTTGATGATACACACAGTTGTCAAGTGGATTTGTCAATGTCTTTTCTGGTGGCTATAAAAATGTTTAATGATGAAATACCATAGCAGATATTCAAATTATTTGAACTGATCTTTTTTAAAAAAAGACAAAAAATGCACTCTCTTGTAATGAGCAATCCCTGGGTGCTGTAACTCACATGGCAGTAGCTCATAAAGATGAATTTCTCCTTTTGATCAGTTTTATTCTTGGTGAAGTGCTAATGACTGTATAATTCTAATTCTTTGTTTTCTTAAACTGGGAAAAGAGTTTGCAGCACTGTTGAATGTATCACTGATTCTAGGAAGCCACAAAAAGACCCAAATGTACATGTGTATGACCCCAATCTTTTTACCCACCTGAGAAGTGCAGAGTCAGTTTGTGCTTGGAAGGCAAAGTTTAAAATATTTAATTCAGCTGTCAAAACTATTACTTACTTACTTACGCCCATGGAAAGTTATTGCTGTATTTTCAAATCATGAATCAACCACAAAGACTATTCAACAGGAAATCACAATTCCAACTCTTATTATAAAACTGTTATCAGTAACCAAAGACCATATTGTCACTAGAAAATATAGAAACTATCTGAGCAGTAGCACTTTCAAAAACTCTCTCATTACTTGAGAGATTAGGTATAACATTACGTTTAGAATTGCATAGAATCTCCTATTCTAATTTAACCAAATTAAACAAAATACAAAAATCCAAACTTAAACAAAACACAAAGATGTTTCATAATATAAACAAATATATTTATTCCTACAGTTTGTCTCACAACTTCACCCATATGAAATCAGGGAAGGAAAGATTATACTGTGATAAATTATATGCCAAGTGATTACAGGGGAAAGGAAAGAGAACTCAGAGTCTGGAAGATTTTGGGTGAAATAGGCCCTAGGACAGATGTTCCTTTTATTATACAAATAACGAACTGCTGCTGAATCAGACAATTATAGGTAGCCTGTAAGTTGTGCAGAGCCAGTATTTCATACTGAAATATTGGTATGACTTTAAATTTCCATTCCAGATAATTTTTCATAATGAGATCCTGTTTCTTACACAGACATATATATGCATTGTACATTATTTCCAAATGTGCAGAGAATGATCCAAACTAATTTCTTATTCATACTGTGTTTCCTCAGCTTCCACCACACAAATTATAAAAATAATTTTAGAATACTAAAAGTTTTAAAAAGATACTAAATTCATTTCATATGAATCTCAACAAGGGCTAGAAAGTGAGGAATCCAGAATGCTATGGAAAGTGTAGGTTTTACTTCTGTCAACAAAAATGTGAAACTTAGGTGATGACTGAGTTCCTACCATGCAAGCAATCCTTCTGTCAATAAAAATGTGAAATTTAGGTGATGACTGAGTTCCTACCATGCAAGCAATAAATATAATTGCTTTTGCTATCTTATTCCTGTATAATGTTTACTTTAGAAGTCCTTCTCTACTATAAGTCTGGAAAAAAAATTATTCCGGTATAACAAATCTTCCTTTCTCAAAACTTCATTTTTTGATTATTCCATGTATGGGCATGTTGTAAAAATATAAACCTAGGAAATGTTTGAATTGGAATAATCAAGCCATCTCTTATCTAAAGGAGATTACAGAGGTGGGAGTGTTTGCACTTCATTTGCAGACATTCTGGAGCTTATTTTGCCAATTTATGGTTCCTTACCTTTTGAGGTAAGAAAATTCAGCTCAAGGGCCAAAATCGTGCTCAAGCTGCTCAGCTGCTGCTCTGCCACTCTGGCAATGCCTCACTGGGGACAAGGAGCTTGGAACCTGCACGAAGTGAAAGGTGCCAGTGACAAGGCAGTGTCACACAGTACACAGGGCAGTGTCACACAGCACATAGGGCAGTGTCACACAGCACACAGGAGGCAGTGTCACACAGCACACACAGGGCAGTGTCACACAGCACACTGGGCAGTGTCACACAGTCACAGCACACAGGGCAGTGTCACACAGCACACACAGCAGTGTCACACAGCACACATGGCAGTGTCACACAGCACAGCCCCATCAGGCTCACCCAGCCACAGGTGAGCCCAACCAGGGCCCAGTCTGGCCAGCAAAGCAAGACATGAATTTTCCCTTAATATCTCCACACCAATGGCAGATATTCTGGACCAGGAAAGAGGAAGGGAATGCGTGACAGTGGTGGGGAAAAGTTGCTTCCATCCCTCCTCACAGCAGCATGAATTCAGGTCAACAGAAAATAATCTTGAAAGTGCAGCTCTCTAGGGCAGTATTGTTCTCTTGTGCCAAGAGTGACAGAGTTGAGCTGATGCTTCAGCCTGTCATAATTTCCACCTTCCCTTATCCCTGCTCCTTTCCCCAGCATGGTACTTGGTCACAGACAGGCAAGTGGGGATCTGGGAGTGACAGCAGAGCTGCTGGACACACTCAATTAGCACAAGACAGATCACAGGACTCTGCTGTATGTGAGTGACCATGCATGGCAGATTAGCAGGTCTGGCAGACAGGGTAAACCACCTATGCTTCCAATTAAATTATTTCTGTCAAATGTGGAGTCCCTGAAGCAATCAGGCACCTTCTAGATGCAAATCTGCCTTCTCATTTTACTGCTGCTATAAAGAGTAAAGCACACAATCTTGAAAACCAGACCCATGTCAATGCTAACCATATGAAAACAAAACTACAATAAATGGAAACCCAGAGAGCCTCTTTGGTATGCATGTTTTCTCAGGGCAACAAAAATATGTAGATAAAAATCATTTACTTTTATGTATTATATGGTTTTCATTTGGTCTGTAATGATTTAAGTGACTTAGTCTTCATACCCAAATGGAGAAAACTTTTAAATTGCAGATTTCCTTTGGGTATAAAACGTAATGTTTTCCTTTCCTTATTTTTCAGGGACATCAAACCTGACAACATACTACTGGATGAACATGGTAAGTGAGTATTGCTTTCCCTCAGAATCTCTAATTCCTGAGATCTCAGTAGCAAGCTCATGGCATGCTTTATAAGTCAACCTCCAATGCTGAATTCCTACCTAAATCTGGGCTTTCTCAGAAAGCTCCCTCAGACCACCTCGGGGATTGTGTAGTTTCCCCTCCTATTGCCAAAGAAATGTGCAGATCAGAAATTTTCAAGGTTTGAATAGAAAGGAATTTAATATTAATTGAGATCAGCAGGGGCACTTGGTAAAAAGAAGTTGGTATTTCATTAACAGGATTCTGTGAATCACCATAACCCCTTTTCAGGTGCTTACTGATAGAACAGTACCAAGCACTTCATTTTCTCTTTTAGAACTTCTGAAGGGCTAAGAAATTCCACATAGCAAATTATTTCTCATGTAGATATCTAAAATAAACTTTCTAAAATCTAGATAGAGATATTGCAAATTTGACTGCAAAGTTTGTCTCCATACATGTAGTTCTGGCTTAAATAGCATAAAAAGGAGTAGACAGCAATAAACAGCTTTGAACTCTTACTACAAATTCCATGTTCTTAAAGATAAAAGACATGGTATGAAAGAAAAGCAGCTGATTTCTTTAAACTTAAATTTTAAACATATACTCTCTCCAAGAAGTATTTAGTTAAAATGTCATGTATCTTCTTGCAACTGTTTATAGGGAAAACATAAGAAATGCAGGTAAAGAGGACATTAACCTTGTATCAGTTAGAGCAGAAATGCATAGAGGAAAAAGCCTCTAGCTTTTTAGGAAAAGGAGATGTGCCTGCTACTGTGGGGAAAGTCTTGTGCTTTGTTTACTTCCAAAATTGATTGAAAGCAGAAAATCTCTGAGAAACTATAATATTGAAATTATGCCAATGATGGCATTATGTTTCAAAATCCATTGTAGAGCTGCTGGGTATACAAGTAAAAGTTGATTAAAGAGGTAACATTCTGCATAGATGATGTTTGTTTCTGGGAACACAAAGGCTAATAAAGCAAAGTAATACTGGAGTTTTAAACCATCTAGAACTTCAGCAATTTAATGCTTCAGACCCACAAGTGCTAATGTTCCCAAGACTCCAGTAGCAACAAACAAGCATGAAATAGAAATATCTTGCCTTTGAGTCCTGGTGAATTAAAGATGCCAAGAGCAACACAAAATGAGTATGAGTGTGTTAAATCTCTGAGTGACAGCCTTGGAAGCACAGTCACCTTTATCTCTCCCTGTCCTTCATCAAGGTCAATTAGTGCACAAAACCAGCCTCTTGTGGCTGAAAAACAATCTTTCTTGTGAGAGCTTTCTTGTGGGGACTTGGGCATCACAAAGAAGAACCTACACCAGAGTGAGCACTACCATGCAAAATGAAGGGGATATTTTCTGATTATAAACTATTCAGCAACAAAGTTATCTGCAGGCAGATTGGAAATTTTGGGATGGATTACCTCTCTTCTGCAAAGCAGCAGAGTACTGCTCCCTCATAGCACACCTGCAGACAACAGACCTCTCCAGACAAGCACACAAATCTTGGTCAGCAGAAGTTGTCAATTAGTCATCCTTATCTCTCCCTGCCCCTCATCAAGGTCAATTAGTGCACAAAACCAGCCTCTTGTGGCTGAAAAACAATCTTTCTTGTGAGAGCTTTCCTATGGAGACTCGGGCACCACAAAAAAGAACCTACACCAGAGTGAGCACTACCATGCAAAATGAAGGGGATTTTTCCTGATTATGAACTATTCAGCAACAAAGTTATCTGCAGGCAGATTGGAAATTTTGGGATGGATTACCTCTCTTCTGCAAAGCAGCAGAGTACTGCTCCCTCATAGCACACCTGCAGACAACAGACCTCTCCAGACAAGCACACAAATCTTGGTCAGCAGAAGTTGTCAATTCATGGCTTCACACAGCTTCAAAGACCTGTCATGTGGATGGGGGAAGGAATTCCCTGGAGCTTGTAAAGTGTCTCTACACTTCAGCTCACTAAATGTGGTGATATCAGTAGGACATGTGCCTGTCCCATGCTGATTACCTCAGGTTACCTTACAGAAGCGAAGCTCTTTTGCAGGAAGAAAGCTATTCTTGAAGTCCTTAACAGCTCTCATTAAGCTGCAACATTTTAACATTCTTTTAACGAAATCATCAGGTTTCACTCTGGAAAAATATGCTGAAGATATGCACCACAAATACATTTGGCTGCAGAGTAAAAAATCATCAGATTTCACTCAATGGAAAAATATGCTGAAGATATGCACCACAAATACATTTGGCTGCAGAGTAAGCATAACAAATTCACCTAACATGAGCCCAACCAGGTGTACAGGAAGGAACTTTATTTTAGCCTGTGGCCTCTAAGACAGCACAACAGTTTCCTACATGCTTGACTTTACCCCTAGGTCTTTCTTACAGTTCATTAAACAAATTATGCCTACACAAAGTATCATGTAATTGGATATGCACAACATTTCTGACTGAGACTTTGTCTCATTTCCTGGCTCATGGTTTTCACAGTTTAACAGCTTCCAGTGACCATTTCTGAGAGCTGTTCTGATGCTTCCTGGAGTGCTTCCTTTATCATCATTAACATCTTCTGTTAGGATCCTTATCTTAAATACAGATTATGTGAAGACTCACTACCTAGTTGTTAATTTTGAAGGTCTGACTTGCTAATTTCACTGTATGACTGCTGTTTCTAATCTTGAAACTGTCTCCTGATGGCTCTCCATACTGAAATCACAGATCTAGTATTTCACTCTTAAACAGGGCTATTTACATGTTATTGGGTTTGGGGGGTTTCTTAGGTAGATTTTTGCATCTGATTGTGACAATTTTACTCAGTAAAATAACTTCATTTATGAGTGAACTAAATTAATTGAAGCTGGAATTAATTTATTATATATTGGTTTGTAATCATCAAAGTTTTCCTTAAAACTCTATCTCCTTGAATACATTTTAGCTCTTATTTGGAAACTCTCAGCAAAATTAAAAGATGTAGCCAATGAGCAATCTTGGCATTAAAACCAAATATGGGAAGAAAAAACCTACTCAAAAATAACTGGAATCTCAGTATTAACTTCTGAATACCAGAACTGCTAATATTATTGCTGTATACTGATGTCTGTGAGACAATTTGCAGGGACTCTACCTTGTTTAACCCTCCAATTTTGATTATTAAGACAAAAGATTTCAGCAAAATTAATTTGTCTGAAGCTGTCTAGATTTTGAAAGTGTATCTGAAAATTTTACATGCCTACTTGGCCAGCCTAACTTTTTGAAGTGCAGAGATTTGCTGGACCCATATACAGCCATGCAATTTCTACCCATCTCCCTAATGGTAAATGTCAGACTGCCAAGTCATGCCAAGTCCAGGTGGGTACAAGCTTAGGCTCTCAAACATAGTACAGATGAACCCAGAGAGGCTTTTTAAATTCTTCATTGGTTTGGCTTTCTGACAGCAAATCAGATTTGACTGTGCTTCAAAATGTTACTGATCTGAGATTTACAATCAGCTCTGGTGCTGCTGAGTTGATGGCATTAACCCCAGTATAATATTTCTTCTCTCTGACATCACATTCACTCTTTTGGTTTCAGACTCTGAGAAATTCAGTGAGGTTTGAAGTCATGTACGTTTTCCTCTGCTGAATGTTAGTCAGCTAGCCACAGCCAACTTTCAGGGCTTGTTCTAATTGTCATTATGATTTCCTCAAAAATTAAATCCAAACACAGATCATTTGCTGATTACCTCATGTGCTGCAATATCAGGCCATGTTGAAAAGTGAGACATTGAAGTCACATCACATAAAACTTTCCAAAGTCACACAGTGTTCTGTGGGTAGTTAGAGCCTTAACTGGAAGCTGACTAAAGCAATGTTGTTTTGAAACAACTTCCACTGAGATACTTTCCACTGCAAATGTATATGTTGATGTATGTGAAATCTGCAGTCTGAGATGATTTGAAAAGCCACTCTGCAGAGAGTCAAAAGAGTCTGCTTTTTCTTCCCTTCTCTCTACCATCATGTTATTATATATGGGGTCATGCAGCTCCAAGGATTAAGAAATTAGCTCTTTCCCTGGACTAACTTGAATTTAGTTAGGTCTGCTGAATCTGTTGTGCACTGCTCTGCTTCACTGTTCATAAAAGCAAAATCCAAGTGACACTGACATTCTGTTTAGTTCAATATTATAACAAGGTACAGACTTGGTTTGGACATTTAATTGTTTACAATCATAACCAGAAAGGGAGATCAACCACAAGGTGTGAAGCTCAGATGGGAAAAAGTTCCCACAAACAGAAATTTTGCAAGCAGTAAGAAGCAGGTGGAATCCCAGCATATTCTCTGCAGCAATTGCAACCTTCCCTTTTCCTATGTGCAAGAGTTGCAGTAAAAACTTGTCTTAGAGGCTGATTAGAAAGACTCCCATAGAGAGCTGGGGTCTGATTATCTCTTGAAATATTCACACCAGGAATGAAAAACTTAAAAAACCAAAGCAAAGCAAAGCAAAACAAAATGAAAAAAAAAAAAAACCAAAACAAACAAACAAACAAAAAAAAAAAACCTCCACCCCAAAACCAATCCCCCAAGCCCTTAGGGTTACAAAAGCTGAAACATCCAGTGGTGTGCACAGGCAGGCAGAGCTCCATCTCAACACCCTCCAGCCCTCCTTCACTGACCACAGGCACACGGGGTTCACCCCTGCTCTGCTCTGTCCCACACAAAACCCCTCTCCATGCCCTCAGTTCCCACCAGGAGCCTCCCCTGTCCACAGAACACCTTCCTTTCATGGGTTCATACTTTTTATCTGGTATGTGTAGAGGACTTCCTGGCCTGGGCATCTTAGGAAAAAATTGTCAATAAAATGCAGGCAGGTTTTTTGAAAAAAAAAAAGCGGGCAAGCCATTTCACTGAAAACTTCTCCTGTGTCTCTCATTTGGAGAAACAGCTTAAAGTTTAGCAATGGGAAGCACCTTCTTCCTTTCCCCTTTCAAAATCAGCTCAAATCTGGCCAAATTAGGGTCCTCTGAGAATTTCAGTTCACCCATGCACAGCTGCACAATTAGAGGCTGGCTGATACATTTCCTGAGGACTTTGAGCAGGATCTAGGTTAGATTGTTGGAGCAGCATGACATTTTGTTGAGACTGCTCTTCCTCCATCAGGCACACGGCAAAATCCATCAGTCATTTGTTACACTCTTTTCATCTTTGGCAGCAAACATGATTAAAAGCCTCCCCTCACTTAACAACTGCATCATGCCCAAAGCCTGATCCATTCTGTGGATTGAATGAAACAGAGACCTTGACAAAAAAAACCCCACACAAATTTGTCAGTTAGAAGCCTAGCTCAATACATGATATATTAATCCTGATGTGAGTGCAGAGATAAGATGGGGAAGGGAGGCCCTACCCTTGTCCTTCATGGCACTGCCAGGTGTAATCAGAGAGGGATAGCATCTGCATCACACCACAACACTAGTCCTTGAGCAAAGATGCAAAACCTAACAGAAGACTTGTCAAATTAAAGCTTTACATATTTTCAAGCTGGATTTCTATTCAATTTACTTGCCTATAACAAACCAGGATTAACAACTATTACTTCACAGTAGTGGAGCAACTGAACCTATGCTTATCATAAACTAACCCAGGAAAAGAGTAAAAGAAGGTTTGGGCCATTCAGCCTCATTAGTGCAGTTTAAATCATCTGTGTGGCTGGTCAGGCAGCACATTCTCAGGCTGACTTCTGCCACTTATCATTTGTCTTGCCACCTACTGTCAACTGAGTGATGATTTGGGATCTGCTTCTGTTACATACACATCTTCTGCTACCATGGATCTAATGTTATACTTGTTATGTGATAAAAATAGCATTTTTCTTCTTCCCTCTCCCTTTGCCCTGAGAAGACTCAGAAAAAGTCAGGCTGATGGTAACCTGTAGTGGACACAATTGTAGACAGTGTCACGAGTACCAGAGATGGGAGGGGTGACTGTAGCTGGAGATGAGGAAAATTTCACACCCAGCTTTATAGTCTGCTTCTGCATGTTTCTTCTGAGAAGACAGAGAGAATAATAGGATAACAGAATGGTTCTGGTTGGAAGGGACCTTCAAGATCACCTTGTTCCAACCCTCCTGTTTATTGTATTTGTGGGGCCTCCAATGAAGGAAGGAATCATGACTCTGACTCCATGTTCCCGGAAGACTAATTTATTATTTTAGCATACTATACTATATTAAAGAATACTAAACTATACTATACTAAAGAATACGGAACAGATACTTACAGAATGCTAAAAAGATAATAATGAAAACTCGTGACTTTTTCCAGAGTCTGACACAGCTTGGCACTGATTGGCCAATGAGTGAAAACAACTCACAGCTGTTGGATAAACAATCTCCAACCACATTCCAAAGGAACAAAACACAGGAGAAGCAAATCAGACAAAATTGTTTTCCTTTTTCTCTGAGGCTTCTCAGCTTCCCAGGAGAAAAATCCTGAGCAAAGGTATTTTTCAGAGAATGTGGATGCCACACCTGCTGTGGGCAGGAGCAGCTTCAATTAGACCAGGGCTCAGAGCCCCATCCAGCCTGGCCTTGAACATTGCCAGGGATGGCCCATCCACAACCCCCTGGGCAACCTATGCCAGTGTCTCACCCCATTCCAGGGGTGTCTCCCAAGAGCAGAGCAGAGAGAAATCACCTCCCTCAGCCTGCTGGCTGTGCCTCCTTTGATGCAGTCCAGGACAGGGTCAGCCTCCTGGGCTGCAAGTGCATGCTGCTGGGGCACATCCAGGTTTTCATCCATGAGAACCCCCCAGTTCTTCCCCTCAGAGCTGCCCTCGATGAGTTATCTCCAGTGTGTGCTCATGCCTGAGATTGTCCCCATCCAGGTGCAGTCCCTTACACTTGGACCTGCTAAACTTCATGAGGTTCTTGTGGGCCCACTTCTTATCTTTGCTCATGGCATGAGAAGATTCAGGGGTGATCAGCAAAAACAGTTCAGGAGTGCAGACAGATAGTGGCAACCACACAAGAAGAATATTCCATCACTGTTCTTCCAAATTTATTTTTCTATTTAAGAGTAACATTTAATATTAAGCTTCTGTTAATGCTACATATCTTTCTACTTGTGTTTCTTTCCATTATCACTTAAATGTTAGATTAAGTGAGGTATATTTGTATGATGTGCTGTTTTAACTTCTGTTTTTACTTTGTGTAATTGCAGGACACGTTCATATCACTGACTTTAATGTAGCAACCATAGTGAAAGGCTCAGAAAAAGCTTCTTCTATGGCTGGCACAAAACCTTATATGGGTAAGTTTTCAATACATTTAAAAATGTAATAAAAGTTCCATATTAAGGGTGACTAATGGCATATCAAAAGGATTTTAAGTTGTAAAAGCATAAAGTAGATGTGATCAACTTCTTTTTTTGACAATATGTGTGTCAGCCGTGAAAATCTTCAGAGATGGAAGATGTTATTTGGATGTTCTTTGATACAGGAGCTTGATCTCTACACTCTGCTAGTCAGGTTCTGTTTGGTTTTGTGAATTCAAATTCGGGAGAAATTCAGCTGTGTTACTTTCTGTAAATCCCCACATCTTGAGACAAGAATATATGATATATTTGCACCACAGGAATATATGGTATATCTGCTTAGGTGAAATGAACTACAGAGGCATGGGTTACAGAGCATAGGAGGTCAAGGGAAAAACAGGAGACAGGGAAAAGATTTTACCTTTTCACACTAATGGATCTGGTCTAAGTTCACCTCAGCTCATGTAGATGTTCTGTTCCTGATGCCTCCTCCCCACTCATCAGATCTCCACCATATCCATCAACCTCACAAGAAGAAACAGTACCAAAAATTCTCTCCTTTCCTTTATGAAGGCTATTACACCATCCACCAACTTAATTTCTCTTCATTGCACCTTTCTCACCTCTTGGAAATGCAAAGATGCTGCAAAAGCCCCAGTTGCAGTCTTTACCATTCAGAAAGAGTCAGAAAAATCAGCCATGCATTTATTTGGAGCTGTAACAAAGCTTTTAGAGCTGTTTCCAATAAAAAGTGATTGGTAAGGATTCTCTGTTGCACAATTTGGATACCAAAGCTTCAACAAACCAAAATTGTGTGACAGATATGGCCAGACATTCACTGGTGCTGCTTTCCTCTTTCAGTTTATACCTTTTATTTTGTGAGACATTCTACCTGCAGTGAAATTCTACAAGGACTTTTCAGTTGCACTGACTTCTGATTGTAAGGTTTCCATGTGACTTCTCCTGAGAAGTTTGGACTATGAGACAAATAGAAAAACAACAGAATTGGGGAGGTTGGCTCTGTGGTTGATGGCCAGCTTCTATTGCCAGGAATTCAAACCACAGTTTAACCTTGGTGTAACAAGACAAAGTAACCTCCAGTCATGGTACCTGCTGGGTACCAGAACCAAGGAAACTCAGTAATTTCTGTAAGACATGCCTTATGCTATGCTGGTTTTCACAATGATGACAGTATGAGATGTGATGAAAGCTATTTCCCCCTCTTGAAGTTTTATAAAGTCTTACTTTCATGTGGAGCCTGTTGTGTTTAATCAGATATGAGGGGACTCTCCAGCCTTTCCCCTAGCAGAGGAACTTAGAGGATTTCTCACTTCTTGCTATGGCAAATTTAAGGAAATAAACAGAAAAAACTTTATCTCTAAAGCCTCCATTCCTCTTTGAAATCTGATTGAAGTAGGCTGAGAAATTGCTAGGGAGTGATTTGTTCACATGCAGCATGACCAAATAAAAATGGTTTCCAGAAAAAAATCTGAGTGAATTGATATTGTGTTGTAAAAATGCCCTAGCTGTTCTGATTAAGATGCTTATCTTGTAATGTTAAGCATGGTGTGAGTCAGCTCCTGCAGCCTTTGCTTAATCCCACTTCACATTAGCCTTTTAGCCCCAAACTCTGTACTTAATCCCACTTCACATTAGCCCCAAATATTTCAGCCTGAAGCATTCCCTGCCTATTTCCCTACTTATTAAAAGTTTATGCAGAATGCACTGTACCTGAGCCTGAATGTTTCTCTAGAAACCCTATCATTTTCCAAATTTCCATGTCCTCTCCTAACCAGCCAATTAATTCAGACAAGTGAAATACCCACTGCACATAGGAACAAATACAGGGACAGCAGTGTTTGTGAAAAGAACAAGGCCAACAGCCTGGCAAGGCAGGACACTTCCAGCTGCTCCTGCAGCTCTTCCTCTCAAAGCCAGTGACCTGAAATGAGATCAACTTCTTAGAGGTTGGGGATCTCCAAACTTGTGTTCTGCTTTCAGGTGGCTGGGACTGTGGAAGGCAATGTGTGCCCTCTGCTGATTTGGGAAACCTGTGTGCCATCTGTGCCTGATTTTACCTTCACAAATTCACTGCTCAAACCTTTTACAGTACCTGTGGCTGAGGGTGTTGTCAAGGCATTGTTGTAAGAATAGCTCTTTATAAACTTGTATGGTTTCAGGCTGTCATCCTGTCCTGGCAAGCAATGCAAAATGTCCTTTGGGACCAGGCTGGCTTTTGGCAGGCACAGCTGCTGCCAGCAAATGACCAGAAGCACTCTGGAGGATCCCTGCATTGTGCACAGGGATGTGGAGCAGGAGAGCCAGGGCAGGGCAGGACATGTCCCTGGCACATGGACTGGTCTGGTCAGCTGTGACTTTCTGCCTGCAGAAGTATTTTACTTTGGCCTCTTGTGAGAAAGGGAAGTGTGTGTTTGCCTGGCTGGAAGCACCTCTGTAAGGCCTTGCTACTTTCAACACTGTTTCATCTTTATCAGTGGGAAAAAAAAAAAAAAAAAAAGGACATTTCTTAAATTCCTCCATTGTGAACAAGGCTGCAAGAAAAATCTGTGTGTCTCAAATATGCTCTGTGCTGGCTACAAACCCAAAAGTTAAACAGTAAAACACATCTAGAAAGCATGACAGGTGTCACCTTTCTTTTATTCCTCACTTTGCCAAATTTCTGTGTGTTTGAGTCCTGTAGCATATGCTTTTTCCTTACTGAAATATTTTGGAATGATCAATTTCTATAGATCTGTGCATTATTTCTGAGTGTTGCAAAACCCTTCCATTCACAAGGTATATTTTGGGGGGTTTATGGTTTGTTGTTTGGGTTTTTATGTGATTTTTGTGTGTGTGGTTTTGTTGCTGTTGTTGCTTATTTTTGTTTTGATTTTTGGGAGCTTTTGGTTTTAGTGGTAGGAGGGTTTGGGGGGACTAAGTAGAGCCTTTGATGTTTTTCTTAGCCAGAGACTAAAGATATTTAAATGATGCACTGTGACTTTACCTCAAATCAAACCAATAAAATACATTTTATTACACAAATACTCCTGATAAAAATCCAAAGTCAATAAAATCAGTCATAAATTATGTGAAAGGTTTCAGCTACCTCATTCCTATCTCACAGGCTTGTTATCTCAGGTTTTCACAGCTCCTTTCATAGGCTGCTGTCATGGTGAAGAATGACTGTATGCCTGAGATTACCAGAGTATTGTGGATTTACACTGCTCCACTGAACTTCTAAAATGTATGAGTCATCCATATTTATTAATTAATACTCTGTGGGTGTACAATTGAACTCAGAGGAAAGCCAGTGGATGTCCTGGTATAAACCTTTCACATAGAAAAAATTATCCCATAGAGCTAAATTTGTTTCTCAGATGCTTAAAATATAGCAGGGAAAATTCCGAGTTGAGTTTTCAAAAGTCATCATTCTTTGGTCTTTCTGGAACTCATATTAAACAGTGCTCTGAAATTAAATATTCTTTTGCAGCTCCTTGCATTTTGAATGTTGTTAAGGCAGTGTTTAGGTTTTTAAAAACCCTGCCTTTATCCTACAGGGGGTTTGACTGCCTGTCTGGAGAGTTTCTCTGGTCATGTCATTACCTGACCTTTTGATCCCAGGGAAATCTCATGATGTCAGCATGGCAAGGGAGGCTTCTCTTGGTTCTGATAAGCAAGAACTAAGAGTGGCTGTGTGAGACTCCAAGGTGCTGAAATAAATATTCCCCACACTGATGGCATTTTCAGCTGGTGCCAGGAGCTACATGGCTGAAGGGACTAAACACTGAGCTGTGAGCAGGCATTCAGGTTCTGGTTCCACTCTGACACTAAGAGTAGGAACATGAGCAGCTGAGGAACCTCAGGAGATGAGGAAAGAAGTTGTTACCTCCAGCTGCTCTTCACCTCTTTGTGTTCTCTGACCTGCTACCATCCTTTAAGATCTTCCAGCAAAACTACTAATACAATCATTTCTTTGACTACTTCAGTTAACAAATACTCTATTCTGAGTTCAAGAGATAGTTTTGGTTTGGGCTGGTTTTTAAATTTTTTTTTGTTAATTTGTTTGTTTGTTTATTTATTGCCTGTCTAAAAGGGCCTGGTGTGCTGTGGAGCTCTGCAGGCAGATCCAAGGGGAGCAGAGGTGGAGCAGAGGTGACAAACAGGTCCCAGCAGGGCCCTTCTGACCCCTGGATAACTCCTGGGTTTTGGTCAGACCAACCCCCCAGGTTTTTGCATGCACAAACTGGTGCAAAGATATTTTCTAAGCTGTTGGGAGTATGTGATGCAGGAGCATGGAACAGTCCTTCTGGTGTGTCAGGTACAGTCTGTCCTGAAAATCCATTACACAGACCCACTAATTTCAGTACTGGGCAGAACAGCTGCTGTCTATACACTGGAACAATCTTCCAAACACCAAATGGATATTTTTGGACAAAATCCCTTCTAAAAATTGCTAGAAAAACTGGCCCTGCAGCCGCTGTGAGCTTTTGTATGGAGTAACAAAGTGCTTGTGTACAATTTCATGTTCAATAATGGGAGACCATGACGTGCTCGTTACTGCTGGGCTTTCTTTCAGCAGGGGTAGCAACTTGAGGTTGTTTCTCTGAGACTGATCCAGATGTTCAGCCACCAAGGGCTTCTCTGTGCAAGGTCAAGACGTGAGTTCTGTTCAGTGGCTGAGTAAAGCAGAGGGGTTGTATAAGGATAGCAGGCTGAATAAGGGCAGGAGAGGTTATATAGCCAGATGGAAAACTAATAAGGCATTCTAAATGCCATGTCTGTTTTCAGGTAATGGTATCTAAATTATTTACTTTGATTGAATAATTGCATTAAGTATGAGTATTAAAACTATTGAGGTGTATAATGTGAATAATGGTGCAAAATCAGTTACATGGCTGTAACAAGCAAAAACCTCATGCTAGAAAATTGCCATCCCAGCATGCCCAGGCTTTAAGCAGCATTTTGCCTTATAAAATAGAAGTTAGCAGCTGGCTAGT